TGGACCCAGCCTACACCGGGAGAGTGGGGGCCAGTGAGGCCGCGCTTTTCCTCAAGAAGTCGGGGCTCTCCGACATCACCCTTGGGAAGGTATGGCGGGGTGCGTGCGTGTGCGTGTGTGTGTGCATATGTGTGTGTGTGCACTCGTGGGGGAGTGTGTGAGAGTGAGCATGCCGTGATTTCTCCTCCTTGGCGGCCCCCACGCTCTCCCTGGGGCTGGGCTCCTGGTGCGGCCTGGTTACCCAGGTGCGTGGTGCCCGCCTGTAATCCCCGCACGGGGATCGGGAGGCGGGAGGGCTGGGAGGGCGCTGCTGCCCCACCCCGACTCCTCGGCCACGGCCTGCGTGGCTGTGGGGCGCAGTGCCCCCTCTTCCCCCCCCCCCGGCGGAGGCGTGGCAGGTGGCGGGGTCACAGCGCCTCCGTGTCTCCGCAGATATGGGACCTGGCCGACCCAGAAGGTAAAGGGTTCTTGGACAAACAGGTATTTATTGACACGCACGCGTGTGCGAGCAGGCGCGGGCCAGTGCGGGGACCAGTGCGGGGACCCCGGCCGCCCCCGAGGGCCGCCAGCCCTGTACCTCCTGCCGAGGCAGCGGTCTAACAGTCGGGGTTTCGCTGTGGACCCCTTGAGTTACGCCTCCACCCCCACCCATCTTGTAACAGCCAGCCCGGCCCGAGCGGCCCCGCCCTCGACAGGCCGCCCCCCCCCCACTGCATGGAAAGCCGTGGGCCGCGGTGCCCTCGTCGTGGGGTGCGGGTGCTGGAGCGGGGTTCCAGGCCGGGAGGCGGGGGGGGGGTCCCGTCGTGTGAGCCGCCGTCCTGGAGGTTGGAATGGACCCCACACACCTGCGGCCCCGCGCCGGCCCGCGGTGACGCCGCCCTTTGGCTTGCAGGGCTTCTACGTGGCCCTCAGGCTGGTGGCCTGCGCGCAGAGCGGCCACGAAGTCGCCCTGAGCAACCTGAGTCTCACCATGCCGCCCCCCAAGTTTGTGAGTGTCCTCCCCGCACCCCAGCATGTGCGGCCGGCCGGCCTGCTCGCCACTGGCCTCCGTGCGCCCCACTGCCCCATCCCTTCCAGATCCTTCCCGGGCCCCGCGCACCCCTGTGGCATGACATCTGTGCGCGCGTCCATCCCGCAGCCTGGCAGAGGCGCAGCTTCGGCCCCTCACCACAGCCCCCCCAGTCAGCGCCGCAGGCCCCTCACCCCCTGACCACAGCCGACCTCTCCTCCCCAGCACGACACCAGCAGCCCGCTGATGGCCACGCCGCCGCCCGCCGAAACCCACTGGGCCGTGAGGGTAAGTCCCACCCGGAACCTCACTGGCCCCGGGGCGTCCGGTCCTGTCCAGCCCTGTCTGGTGCTGTCTGTCTGGTCCTGTCCGGTCTTTCCAAGCCTGTCCTGTCTTCTCCGGTCCTGTCTGTCTAGTCCTGTCCTGTCCTGTCCTGCCTTGTCCAGTCCCGTCCTGTCCTGTCTGGTTCAGCCCTGTCCGGTCCCATCTGGTCCTGTGACCTCTGCAGTGAGGTGTGCCATGCCCAGCTGCCCCTGGCCGCAGCTGGGTTCCTGCGTCTGTGGCTGCCTTCGTGCTGCGGGGCCGCCTGGCTCAGGCTCTCCCTGCTAGGCCCCGTGCCCGCGCGCTCACTTCCCACACAGGGTCTGGTAGTGCCTGACGCTCCTGCGTGGCTCCCACGCGCACCTGCCCATCCTGGGGTGAAGCCATCTGGGGTTTTTTTTATTCTTTTTTGTGTTTTGCCCCGGCTGGTCTTTTTCTCTTGTTGTTGTCGGTCGTGGGGCCTGAACTCTGGGCCTGGGCGCTGTCCCTGCGCTCTTCAGCTCAAGACGAGCACTCCACTGCTGGAGCCACAGCACCATTTCTGGTTTCCTACTGGTTCACTGGAGATAAGAGTCTCACGGTCTTCCCTGCCCGGGCTGGCTTTGAACTGTGATCCTCAGACCTCAGCCTCCTGAGTAGCTGGGATGACAGGCGTGAGCTGCTCTGGCTGATCTCCAGCCATGATCCTCCTGCGTCAGCCTCCACAGCGCCACCACCCATGGCCATTGTTACTATTTTTTAAATTGCCATGGGGGTCTGGAGCTGGGGTCCTTGTTAGCACAGGGCCGCGTGTCCCCCAGCGCCAGCCCCAGAGAGAGGGGTACGGGGTGTGGGGCGCGGGCTTTTATTTTCGAGAGTAGATCTGCTGCGGCAGAGGCATCCTCCGCCAGCTTGCTCCCCACCCCCACCCCCTGCTCTTGCTGGTTGTTCAGAATGGAAATTGGGAGAGCCTGAGCCTGAGTGTGCATGTTTGTGTGTGTGCACGTGCGTGTGCACACGTGTGTCTGTGCGCATGCATGCACACCTTCCAGCTTCTCCTGTTGCTCTCGTTGGTGTGGCGCACGCTGCTTTGTGGCCAGCGATTCCCAGCACACGCCCACTATTTGCAAAGACAAGAGGAAGGGTTCTGTGGGTGAGGACGCCTGCCATCCCAGCCCCTTCGGTGAGGCAGGCCCATCCCGACCTTGCTCTGCTTCTGGATGAGGTCCCCCCTCGCCCGGGCACCTCCCCTTTCCCGGCTGCCTCCTGAGCTGCCCTGGCCAGGCTCATGTGGCCTTCATAACTGACCCCCCCCCAAGCCCCCTGTGATCACGTGCACACGAACCCCGCCCCCAGGGCTCTGCGCCCATCTTCTTGCTGTTTTTCTGTTTGTGTCTGTTTTGGGGAAACAAAATCTAGCTACGCAACCCAGGCTGGCCTCGAACTTGATCCTTCTGCCTCCGCTTCCCATCCTCATTCTCACAGGGCAGCTTTGTTGCAGCTTTGTTCCCTGGGGTGGGTGGGGGTGGGGCGGGAGGGCGCTGGTCTGCAGGGTGGGGTGCGGGGCTTCTCTCTGGGCAGTGCAGACGCTGCGTGGTCCTGGAAAGGGCTGCCTGGGACCCTATCCCTACTGTGCTGGGGTCCTGGCAGGTGGGGCTGGGTGTGGCAGGATGCGGTGGGAGGGGGCGTGGGGGGGGGACGGGACCAGCACCACAGACCCAAGGGGGGCTCTGTTACGCACAGCCTCCTCTTCTCTGTCTTCTCATTTTATTTTTATTTCCTTGAACTTTTTTTTTTTTTGGGTCCGGTCGTGGGGCCTGAACTCTGGGCCTGGGCGCTGTCCCTCAGCTCTTCAGCTCAAGGCTAGCGCTCTACCACTTGAGCCACAGCGCCACTTCCGGATTTTTTTTTTTTTTTTTTGCTTATATGGTGCTGAGGAGTCGAACCCAGGGCCTCAGGCATGCAAGGCAAGCGCTCTACCACTGAGCCACCTTCCCAGCCCCTGAACTTATTTTTTTGTGAAGAGAGCGCCTACACTCCCACGTCCTAGGCAGGCTCTACCCCCTGAGCCAGGCTCCAGTCGCTTTTACTTCAGTTTTCTCTCCATAGGGCTTTGAGGTAGGCCTGGGCCATGGTCTTATTTACAGTTCACACACGTCATCACCCCAGCTTTTTATTGGTTGAGACGGATGCTCGTGAACTGATCTGGCCTTGAACCAAGATCCTGCTGATCTCTGCATCTTGAATAGCAAGGATTACGGGTGTAAGCCATTGTGCTTGGCCTTGACTTCATTTTATTTTTACTGTGCTGAGGAGGGAAGCCAGGGCCTCACCCCTGTCAGTCAAATGATCTTCCACTCAGCCATCCCCTCAGCCTCAGTGTTTCTTTTGTGCTGATCCTGGGGCTTGAGCTCTGGGCCTGGGCGCTGTCCCTCAGCTCTTCAGCTCAAGGTGAGCGCTCTACCATTTGAGCCACAGCGCCACTTCCATCTTTCTGAGCGGTTTACTGGCACGGCCTTCCCTGCCTGGGCTGGCCTTGAACCTCAGATCTCAGCCTCCTGAGCAGCTGGGAAGGCAGGCGCGCGCCCCGGCGCCCAGCTCTGCACTTCTTTCAGCACCGGGCCACTGGAGCCACAATTCTGCTTCTGGCTTTTTCGGTGATTCACTGGAGATGGTCTCAGCCTTCCTGCCCAGGCTTTGAACCGTGGGCCTTAGTTCTCAGCTTCCAGAGTGGCTGATTGCAGGCGTGAGCACGCTGCCCGGCTCCCGTGTCGTCATGGCTGCAAAACGCATCTCTGTGCGGCGCCCGCCGCCCCGTCCCGCGTGGAGCTTCCGCGTCTCCCAGCTCCGCGGCCGCCGCGTGCACTGGCCGTGCGCGGCCAGCTCCACCGCAGGCGCGGGCCGCGGAGGGGCCGGACCCCCGGGGCCCCAGCGGGCGCACGGCCGGGGCGGGGGACGCGGGGGCTCCCCGGGCCCGCCCACCCGCCCCGCCCGCGCTCAGGCCGCTGCTCGCTGCCCCCGCAGGTGGAGGAGAAGGCCAAGTTCGACGGCATCTTTGAGAGCCTCCTGCCCATCAACGGCCTGCTGTCCGGGGACAAGGTGAAGCCGGTGCTCATGAACTCCAAGCTGCCGCTGGACGTGCTGGGCAGGGTGAGGCGCGGGCGGAGGGCCGCGGCCCGGGGCTCGGCGGGAGCGCACAGCCTCGGGACGGCGCCAGGCTGCGTTCGAGTCCCAGAACCAGCCCGAAAGGAAACTTGAAATCAAAACCCAGTCCCGCGCGCCCGCGCATGCGCGCACTCGTGGAGGCCCCTCCACCGCAGCGTGCTCGTCCACGCGCCCGCGCATGCGCGCACTCGTGGAGGCCCCTCCACCCCACAGCGTGCTCATCTACTCACCTGCGCATGCGCGCACTCGTGGAGGCCCCTCCACCGCAGCGTGCTCGTC